GTGTAGCTTGCGCTAATTTCCTAAACAATCAAACAACTCCCTCTCTGAACATATTTTCTTTATTTCGTTCTGGAAAAACAAGAATAATAAATTTCTCTTGTTCTATGTTTTAGTTAATTAAACCTTGCAAGAGAATGATTTTTGATCTTGCAACCAGTTACATTCTCAAGCTCACTAAAATTTCACTGACAAACAAAAACTTCTACACAACCATCAAACATCTAATTTTCACATCATCTATCTCATACAGTATAACATTCAAAATATTGTATAAGAACAGACGACTTTTCACAAGTCAGAAATCTTCCACAGATACCATTCAATAATCAGAAATACACTGAAACAAAATTCTGTTTGCTCAATATAATAAGCAATTGGTTCATTTCATCAAAATTTTTAAGGTTTAAATACTAAACTGATAAAAGAGAAGGAAAGCTTACCAAGTATTGTTATTTCTTGTGATTTGGCTTCAGAGTTGATGGTTTTTGACCTTTAACATTTCTCAGTAACCGATCAATATTTATTTTATTTACTTACTACTAGCTACTTCAAAGATAAACTTTAGAATTTTGCTTCTGGAGATTTCTTTCTTTATTGGTCAATCTGTTTCTAGCACTTGTTAATTCTTTGTTTTCTAATTAATTGTACTATGCTGTGTACTCAAGTTCCAATGCTTCTTTCATATTTTGCTTTTTTAAATAACTTTGTAAATGTTATCTGAAATTCTCCTGTATTTTATTAATTCACTTGATCCCACTTCTTCTGTTTCCTCCTCCTCCTATGGAGAAGTTAGTCTTCATATATTTTCCACCACAAAATAACATGAAAGAGACAGTCACCTTAACATCCCACTAAACCATTGTTGACTGCAAACCTGGTATTTTCCTTCCCAAATCATCCAGGTTATTTTATTAATTCATTTGATCCCACTTCTTCCGTTTCCTCCTTCTCCTATGGAGAAGTTAGTCTTCACAGCTTCGTATATATTCCATCACAAAATAACATGAAAGAGACAGTCACCTTAACATCCCACTAAACCATTGTTGACTGCAAACCTGGTATTTTCCTTCCCAAAACATCCAGGTTATTGAGGTTTCTGGAATTGGGTTTCAGTCACTTTATGATCCAATGTGTTGTTTTTGTGTCATGGGGGAAAAAATAAAGGTTATGTTGACAGTAAAATGAAAGTCAAACACTGATACTGGAAGCTTTTCGTGCAATATAACTGGTAGGTTACTACCACACAAACTAAATAAGCAAACATTTATTGAAAATACGTAATTGAATATTGAGCTGTTTTTCTTACAGTTCTATGTAAAGTGATCAATACTACTACATAATGTTTCAGTTGTCATATCCAATGATGAATGTATAAAAGTGCCAGTAACTTAAAAAATCAAACAAAATAACCTCAAATAAAAGGCTAAAATGTGAAAATGTAACTTTATGGCATTAATCATGAATTGAGAAAATTTTATGATGCCCTGCATGAAAGACTAGCATTGGTTTTGGTATCAGTTGAATTCACTTAAAACTATGTGGCAACTCGCTAAACTGAAAGCTGGAAGTAAGACTGCAAAGGCCAATTGCAGTATTACAAAAACTGCCTTGTATCAGAAGTACTTTGTCATCTTAATAACCTTCTGAGATATGTTTTTAATTTAGTGCAAAACTATTTGAGGGCTATCTATGCTAATTGTCCCTAATCTATATGTGATAAGACTAGAGGGAAAGCAGCTAGTTATTACTACCCACCACCAACAATTGGGCTACTCTAATTAAATAGTGAGATTGGCCATCAGATTATAGCACTCCAATGGCTGAAAGGGTGTGAATGTTTAGTAACGAAATTCAAACATGTGACCAGCAGATTGCAATTTGAGCACTCTTAATCATCATGCCATGTCAAGCACTTCTGAGAGATAGATATCATGATGTTAAAGACTTTGAAGATGCTGATATAATGATTTTCCTGCATTGTATAGTCCTGGAAGAGGCAGCCAGATTTGCAATGTATACTGTAAAAGGGAGGGATCTTAAAAGCATTAGTGTGAACTGTACATAAGTGGAATACTAATTGAAAGCATTGTTGATAATGTCCAACATTTGGCCAAAAGCAAAATGCCACAGATTTTACACATTATTTAACTTCCAGCACAAAAAAAAGGGAACTTTATGTAATTAGGATTCTGAAATGTGTTTGCAAATGATAGAAATATAACAATTTGAGTAATGTGAAATATTTTATTCAGCAGACAGAAGTTAAAGCTGCATCAAAATTTGAGACTAAATACTTGTTAATGAATTTGTATTTAGATGAGAAAACTAATAAATCTTTTTTATGATCTAAAACAGAAAGTTGAATTAGTAAAGTGTCCCAAGTTGTGAAAAATCTTGTAAATCAATAAAGCTAAGTCAGCCTCTCACTCTTCTTAAACTGAGTGTAGAACAACACAATAATGTTTTATTAGCATCAGTTAGCTATGCTGCCCATGCAAAGATAAAAGGTAGAAAAGAAAGGACCAAGATCTGCCATCTCTGATGACAAATTATCCAATTAAAGAGTGGGATACTTTCTAATATTAATCACTTTTGAACAGGAATGTATCATGACATTTGACCTCTTCTGTGGTCATCCTGTTGATGATGATAAATAACAATACTAGCTCTGTTACCTATTGGGTTAACAATATTTATGCCTGATAATTATAAGCAAACCTGTGAGTAGCTGAAGTCAACCACTGAAAGAAATTAAGAAGCAGTACAATATCTATAGTGTTAAGTTCCAGTTCCATTCATACACCCTTGAAGAAGAATAGTATACCTTTAAAAAAATTGAGCTGTCTGGGAAAGTCATCAGTGATGTGACTCATAATTCAAAAAACAGTCACACCAAACCAAAGATTCTTCACTATAACAATATCAACTAATCAGGTTTATGATTTATTATTCTAATCCTGAATCAAAAGTCTCACCCTAAATGTGATCCGTGAGAGTCACATGAAATAATGCTCTGCAATTTCAGTCTATGAAAATCAAATTTAAGTAACACCCCACCTAAAAAAAATCAGGATGCTTAAAAATTATTTGGGGCCAGTAACAGGTTTGATGATGAAAATAATACACAAAGATTTATGTAAAGAACATTTTCAGTTAAAGAAAACACTCAATTTTTCACTTCATTATATACAAATTTTCTTAACAAGTTATTCACAATATTTTGTTTTTGACTGGATCCTGGATGAGTTGACATTAATATAAATGCAATAAATCTTCTGAAACATTTCATCCATACAGTTTTTGATTGGCAGGTTTATTGTATTGAAGTAAAAATAACAACAGCAAGAACTTAATGATTACCATCAAAAAAAGGTCAAGAGGAATGTTTAGAATAAAACCTGGCCATTTAATAAGGAACTAATTTATTACAAAAGTTTCTTAGAATATAATGTTATAAAAAGTTTAA